TGTGTGTGTGTGTGTGTGTGTTCTCAAAACAACTTCGACTTTTTCATTATATCATCACCGGTGGCTGGGATGGCACGAGAGGGTGTGTTTTTGGAGGGGAAAAAAAGAAAAAAGAAAAAAGAAAAAAAGAAAAAGGAAAAAGGAAAAAGAAAAAAGAAAAAAAAAATAGAAAAAGAAAGAAGGCTGGCCTGGTTCCTCACACTCATCCCGGATCACTGCTTTTCAAAACATTACGCCCATTTTTTACTTGAATTAATTTCGGAATTAATTCAGGGAAAGCCAACTACAACTCAAATTATCCAAACCAACGTTTTTAGTACAACTAATTTCGAAATTATTCAATAATTAAGAATTATTCATTAATAATTAATATTAATTATGATAAGTTCTCATTATCCGAGTGATCCTTCCCATCCCTTTTTTTTTTTTTTTTTTTTTCCCTCCTCTTTCTTGGAGTTTTTTGAGGGCCTGTTAAAAAAGAGGGCCTGGTGTGGTGTACAGAGGGCCTGTTCAAGAAAAAAAGAGGGCCTGTTAAAAAGTCTGGTGTGGTCTAAAGAGGGCCTGTTACAAAGAAAAGGGGGAAAAAAAAAAAAGAAAAGAACTCACCGTCTTCGGTAGACCAGGTGCCCAGTGGATGACATCAGGTGAAGCAAATGCACCAATTGTATTCCTGACGGCATTTCTCAGACTGACCTTCAAGCTTTCTGAGGGTTTGACTCTATAGATCCAAAGAACAAATACGACCGCCCAAACAGGTACACAACAGAGCAGGATAATACTAAATTTAGTAAAAAAAATATAATTAAAAAATAAAATTCTTAAAATGGCATTAAATGAGAACCAAGAAAATACGGAGATATTTCATTATAGCCTTTTATAGGGCAATACCGGAACTGAGATGACAAACGTCGCACGGGTTGGCGCGACCCAGAGCAAACTATCGTTTTTTTTCTCAAACTCTTTGACATCAGCAACAGCCCAGCACAAAATATTCTTCTTACTAGTTATTAGTAGTTATCAGTACTTATAAGTTGTTAACTTGTTAGTACTTACCATACATAAAACACTCAATTAGTGTGTTCATAACTTTATAAAGTTTATATGATACTAAATAAGAATACTTTGTGTTGGACCGTCACTCACCTCAACGAGTCTGTCACTCACAAAAGTTTTTCACGCATAGGGCATCGCTGCACTACTCTCGACATGCACAAGCGACAAAACTCATGGGGGCGTATCTGGCCATGTTTCTAGCAAATATTCACTCTCGTTTTGCACATTTCGAGAGTAGTGCAGCGAGGCCCATAATCATGCAGACCAAATGCACAGATAAGTAGAGGACAAAATACAAATACAAAATAAACAGCAGATCCTTTGGAGGGTGGGGCGGACCAGGGGGGGGGGGGGGGGGGGGGGGGGGGGGGGGGGGAGGGGTAGGGTGTTGAAGAAAACGAAAAGAGCGGGCAGGAGGGGGGGAGTGGGGGGGGGGGAGAGACGAGGAGGAGAGGGAGCGTTTGAATGCGGATGCATCAGCAGAAGTCTTGCGCAGAAACTTGACAGGATAGAATTTAAACCGCCGCTACACGGCCCCAGCCTTGCTGAAACGAACACTCGTCGCCTACAAAGTTTTCGGAGGCCCAGTGCCGTAGATAAATCGAATCGGCGGCGGTCGGCCTCCGAAAAAGGCACGTGGCCGATAGCGCTGGATGTCGTGGTGGTTTAAGGCTTTCCTTGGCTTTCAAGCAATTGCTGATGAACTCCTCCGAGTTCAAGCGAACAGTTGGCCTACTACCATCTTCACCCAAAGACAACATACGGTCTTTATAGCTGTGTATTTTGGGCATCTTTGAGGCTAGATACAGCAATAATAACCGTACCGTTGTATTTGGGTGAAGAAGGTAACACTACACAATTCTGATGTGTCACAGTTTCTCTTGAAATTCTGATGTATCACAATTCTGATTTATCCTTTATGATCAGTTATCACTATTCTGATTTATGATCATTAATCACAGTTCTGACACATGATTCTTTATAATGAAATGACTTATAAGTTATAATTTGTTACAAGTCTGACTCGTCACAATCATTTCTTAAATTCCCCAAAAATATTATGGAAGCTCATTTTAGACGAGGAATCCTTCAGGGCATGGAGTGGCGGCATCATTGGTATGTGTTGGTGGAGTAACCGGAAGAATCAAAATTAGCCCGGCCGGCCTCGATCGTCAGAACTCTCTGCTAAAAGTTCTAAAACAAGGATGAAGGTAGGTATCTGGAAACACCAAAAAAGCTACTTTGGATGCTGTTGAGCCAGATTCGGCCCCACCGCTTTTTCTTTCTTTTTTCTTTCTTTTTTTGTTCTGAAAAAAAAATCAAGAAAGGCCACTTTGCACATAGTTTTTAGTTATGTTTGTTGGTTGGCTCAGGAGACTTCACCCAACAGGTGTTACTCCGAATCCAAAAAAAATGGAGCCCCCGCAAACCTAGCAGGAGCAAGGTCCCACTACCTTCTTCCCCTGAACATAACGCATATGTGTTGTATTCGAGTTTTTCAAAATCAAAAAATATATATAAAACAAATTGGCATAGAAATTGATAGAATGCATATGCACTGTGTTCGAAAAATAGGGCTAATCGAATAGAACGCATGTCTTGTATTCGAATAGAAAGCATGTCTTGTATTCGAATAGAACGCGTGTGTGTCGTATTCGAATAGAATGCATGTGTTGTATTCGAATAGACCGGATGTGTGTTGTATTCGAATAGAAAGCATGTGTGCTGTATTCGAATAGAACGTATGTGTTGTGATCGAATAGAATGGACTGTATGCGTTGTATTGGAATAGAACCACCCTATGCGTTGTATTCGTTTACAACACATGCGTCCTATTCGAATACAACACATGCGTTCTGTTCGGGGGAAGAATGTAGTAACGAGGATAGCAGTAAGTGGCTGTGGCTAAATTTGGATGGATTTGAAGCAGGGATGCAGAAAAAAAGACCAGTCGCAATTCTTCGGACATCTTCACAAACACGCGCAGATTCAGGTGCCAAATCCAATGCTATTGCTAGTGGGACCTCAACGCGGGTGTGTGCTTTCAGATGTAGTGCATGCTTTTCTGCATCTCCGCATAAAACACATCCAGATTCAGGMGCYTAATCCAATCCTCTTCGCTAATGGGACTACGGTTCTTGAGTTGTGCAGTGATTATGAAATCCAACGCCTTTTTCTTTTGCAGCATCAGCTGAAATATCACTCCTCGCAACGTGCACCGTATAACGACTTCTCAAAAGGAGACCCAAGCAAAGTGAAGGGAGGCCTGCCCTTCATTCCTCCCTTGTCAGTGTTAGTATTCTTACCCTTCCATCAGTGTAACAAAAGCATAAATTCCCTGGCCCTTGATTGCGTGCTCATAACCGACAACGGCAGCCTGCAGAAAGACACAAAATTTGACAGTACAACAGGGGTCAAATGGGTAAGAATGACAATTGCAACCGGAAAACATCTTCCCATAACCACAAATGTGTGTGTGTGTGTGTGAGAGAGAGAGAGAGAGAGCTACAACTGCAAAAAATATGCCCATAACCACAAATGCGTGTATGTGTTTGTGTGTGTGTGTGTGTGTGTGTGTGTGTGTGAGAGAGAGAGAGAGAGAGAGAGAGAGCGAGAGAGAGAGAGAGAGAGCTACAACTGCAAAAAAAAGCCCATAA